GGTCGAAGTTCGAGTACAGGAAGGGGCAAGAATTTTTACTCCTCCATGTCGTCCAGACTGCTTCTTGGGTCCACCCAAACTCTTATTCAATGGGTAAATGGCGTCTTTTCCCGGGGGATAAAGCGGCCGGAGCGTGAAATTCATCACTCACCTCCACTAGATCCGGGTTCAAGAAAACGTGATATATATATCCACTCACACATACGTCTTCATGGCGCAGTGTTTATATAGTTAAGCACAGGGCCACATTACCTTTTACAGACTGCTGTGTAAACTGAAGGACATGTTAGCGGGCACTCATGCCCACCCTCCTTACGCCTTGCTTTCAGAGACCCCTTTGAAACCAACACCCCTAAACTCCTATATGTACATAGATTTCAAAGGTATTTCTCCACGTAATAGGGTTATTCATTATAGATCTTCTCGTTTTGCAGGCTATCCCAAATAAATTTCAACCTGCGTTTGGGGAGAAGCGACCATATTCCTGTGAAATCAGGAATAACACATTCAGTCGTCAGAGCCATCTAAAGACAAACCAGCGTACACACAGCGGCAAACAGCCATTTTCCTGTGACGTGTGCAGTAAGTCTTTCTGTGATCGGAGTAATTTGAAAAGACACCAAAGCATACATAACGGCGAGCGACTATATTGCTGTGACGTGTGCAATAAATCATTCCGTGTTCAGAGTCATCTGAAGAGTCACCAACGCATACATAGCGGGGAACGGCCATTTTCCTGTGACGTGTGCAAGAAGACATTCACTCAGCAGAGTAATTTGAACACTCACCAACGCTTACATAGCGCTGAGCGGTCATTTTGCTGTGAAGTGTGTAAAAAGACATTCAGTCGTCAGGATAATCTGAAGAGACATCAGCACATACATAGCGGGGATCGGCCATTTTGCTGTGACGTGTGCAAGAAATCATTCAGAAAGCAGAGTAATTTGAAGAGCCACCAAAGCATACATAGCGGGGAGCGGCCATTTTGCTGTGACGTATGCAATAAGTCATTCAGGCAGCAGAGAAATTTAAAGACTCACCAACGCATACATAGCGATGATTGGCCATTTTACTGTGACGTGTGCAATAAGATATTCTGTCTTCAAAGTGATCTGAAGAAACATCAGCGTATACACAGCGGGAAGCGGCCACTTTGCTGTGACGTGTGCAATAAATAATTTAATTTTCGGAGTGAACTAATGGTTCACCAACGCATGCATAGCGGGGAGCGGCCATTTTGCTGTGACGTTTGCAGGAAGTCATTCAGTCAGCAGAGTAATCTGAAGACTCACCAACGCATACATGACGATGAGCGGTCATTTTACTGTGACCTGTGCAAGAAGAAATTCATTCGTCGGGATAATCTGAAGACACATCAGCTCATACATAGCGGTGAGCGACCATTTTATTGTGACATATGCAAGAAGTCATTCAGTAAGAAGAGTAATTTGAATGTTCACCAGCGCATACATAGAGGGGAGCGGCCATTTTGCTGTGACGTATGCAATAAGTCATTCAGGCAGCAGAATAATTTGAAGACTCACAAACGCATACATAGCGATTAGCGTCCATTTTACTGTGACGTGTGCAATAAGTCATTCATTCGTCAGGGTGATCTGAAGACACATCGCGTATACACAGTTGCGAGCGGCCATTTTGCTGTGACGTGAGCTATAAGTCATTCAGCGTTCAGAGCACTCTGAAGAGACACCAACACATACACAGCGGATAGCGGCCATTTTGTTGTGACGTGTGCAACAAGCCACTCAGTAAGCAGAGAAATTTGAAGACACCAACGCGTACAAAGCGGGAAGCGGCCATTTTGCTGTGACGTGTGCAATAAATCATTCAGTGAGAAGAGTCATCTGAAGTAATATCTACCCTCACACAGTGATATATGTAGCAAACGGCAGTCTAGTCACTGGCACGATCGTATGCTTGATCGCGCCAAGTTTAAGACTCTTAAATTTTCGGTTTCGCCATTTCCAATATGGCGAACATTATTTATCATGATTTTGTATTATTTCGGCTTGTTGCCTGCATAATTTTCTTATTTTTAACTGTCCTATATTTCCTCCGCGCCAATCACGAAGAAAAACACAGACACTACTGTAAGAAAGTGTTTACAGAACCATTACATAGCAACGGTCGTCGCACGGACTCCAAAGAAAGCCAGTCACTCGAAAGTATATTGGCGCGCTCGCTGTTGCCCAGAATCAAGCTATGAACTTGCGCTAACCTGAGTAGCTAATCGGTGCATCACCGTTCCTTTTCCGAGGGCTGTGCTTCCGACGTCTGGTCTCGATCTTCTACTTCTGTAGCTACAATTCTCCACCTGCTACCACAATCCCTCATTAAGGCAAGCTCGTCTCGAGCTGTTAATTGCTGAGGTGTCAGTAGATCCAAATATTTCACCAGCTTCCAAAACATTTCTCCCTTTTTACAGTGCGGGCCACAAATCCCAGAGTACAGTTCTCTCTCCGTATGGAGTTTATTTTTCCGTTTCGGAATTGGACGACGTCTCCACAAGGTTCATTTCCTCAATTTCCGAAACCGATGGACGTCCCGTTTGCTCGCTTCACGAATTCCTAGCGTAGGATCTTCTTTAGGGTCTGATTCCCAGAGATGATAGCTGACTAGAACTCCAACCTCCGATGCGGATTTCGTTTGCCCTCCTTTTTCTCAGATATAGCGGTCGCTTTGTTGCTCTTTTTCCTTCATAGTGCGTCCGTAAATGCTTCCTGAGCAGCCCTACTCTCTTGGTTGCTCTCTTAGCCTTGGCCCTGGTGCAATCCATTCTGAAGACGCCTCTCCTGAGCCATGCCACTCGTGTACAGTGAGTAATTATCCTGCCTTTAACGACCACTCTCTTCCGGGATCCACAATATCCTCGAGTCCTTTCCTTCGGCTTCTGGCGGCGTTCCGCTGCCAGGTTCTTGTCCCTACGCCGCTTCCTCAGTCCTCCGACCGGCTTCACTGCACATTTTTGATGCCAGTCAACGGATTGCATCATTCCTAGATTGGGCTTAGTCTTCTCTGTATCTGCTTCCGTCGCTTCGTGGCAGGCGGTCGTCTCGTGGTAGGACATCATGTCCTATGAGGTTGGCTCCTCGCATTCCAGACGTGCCACCATCTTTACTTGGTAGAGCACTGTCTCTTCTCGATCATCCCTCATGACCGCTATCCAGGCATTCAGGCATTAATCATCTGGTTGGTTTCTATATTTGTCATGAATGGCTTCCAGCCCTGACGTCACTTCTTCTTGGTCGGATTTCCGTTCAGCGTTCATTTTTCTCCGGCTACTTTCCACTTGGCCATCCTTTTTTTGAAGTCGACAAGCCAGTCATATTATAGCAACCTCGCTAATCCATTGTTGTGCTAATTTTGCCTAAAAACGAGCTTTAAATATGTGCTCTATTGTTGAGTGCGCTTAGGCAAGATGTTTATCACCCCGTTTCCTACATATACACGTTAAAATATTTTGAAATATTTTGACATAACAAAAATGTCAGTGTCTTTTTATGTTCTTAAGAGAAGTAAATACATTACTAATGAGTCCAATAATAAAATGGTTTGGACAAAGAACTTTGTTTTTAATTGTAGATGGGATATGCAGTATGCACTCTGACCAACTTTCCTGAAATGTGGTATACATATTATGCCACTAGAGACCACTTCAGTGCTGTACATTTAATGACTGATTACCACATGGTAGACAAGCATAATGGCATGCAAATTGTAATGACTCAATGAGGCTTCTGGTGCAATATAGCGAAGCACTTTAATTTCGTAATTACATACTTTCTTTAGGCTTTCTTATACCTGCAGCCCAGTGACATTATTCCTTTCCAATTCAGTGATGAGCAATATTGATACATAATACAAGCCACTGGTGCATTGGGTGAAAATTGACGGGTTTCCTGACAGGACTGCCTGCAGGCGAGATGGATGCAGATAGATTAATCTTGTATGTAAGCCTAGATGGGAAACATGAATTAAACACTTCATGAGTGGAAGAGGGATTAGGACTACAGAACCCCAGCTGAGCATGTAACCATTTTCACTGTCTGCATCCCAAAGTGTCTAGACATGGAGACTAACACCACACCAGTTCCTTTCCAGTTTCAAAACATTGTTAGGTATTTTGGTAATTTCTCTTATAATCAGAATGAATAATATGGTGAAACATGGGTATGACATGCAACAGAGGGGACTCTGTAACTTCTCTAGATACAAAATTCCAACTGACAACATGTTCCATTGCAGTGCAACAAACATGTTTCCTCCTGACCCCTGTGCAAGTGTGTCATCTGCGCCATTTGACCGTGTGTTGCTACCGTCATACAATGACGGGTTGGCTCCCAAGTCCTTTACTTCCTTCATTTCAGGTTTTCGAGTCTCATGCCAGAACAAACCATCGTCACCCTGTTTGTACCTGCAACATTTGAATTCGGTTACAATACAGTACGATACAATACTATGTTTGTTGCGTCCGATATGTTGTTGCACAGTGAAATATGTTTCTCTGCCGCAAATAGTGTGTCACACATCTTACAGTATAAAATGTTACAGTCAGTTTAAAATATATCATCTCCAAATTCAGTTAAAATGTTCTCTAAATGACACGATTTAGATGGCTTTGCTTTAGGCATTGTGATAAAATGAATCGCTCTAGTGCAACATTGTAATCAACTTTTCACACTGAGAACTTTTCGTTAACTGTATCTTTGTGTGTACGGTTAAGGGCGAGAAACTGAAGACAGTAGGAGTTATCCTGAGAAAAAAATATGTTTTAAAAAATGAGGGATCTCGACTAGAAATATTTGTAATAACCAAATTTCTTAGCGCAAACTTGGAAAGGGACGCAGTGAGAGTCCCTGCTGCCAGCTTAAAATGTCTTATGGTATGTAATACAGCACTTTCCGAAAGACGGACGGAAAGGTTGTGACAGTAATACATGTTATTATTCCATACTTAGGTAGGAAGTATTTGGGTTGCAGGTGCTGGCAGCCTTTGTAGAGGCAGAGAAAGAGAAGGAGGAAAAACACTTTACTTGAAAATCATTCACATTTCTGAAAAAANGACCAGTAGCTCATTTTCGGGATTTATGTATTTACAGGCATCGAAAAGGATACATGGAATAAAATGACATGTCATCAAGATGTGGGCCTTGTTCATAACATTCTTATATTTATCGTTTTTATGACTGAAATATTAGAATATGATACGCAGTATCTATGACCTGGCCTGTCGGCAGGAAGTCACTAAGTCGAATTTTAAAATGAATAAATTTCGTAAAAAATGTATTTTTAGTTGCACTTGTAACTTTGTTTAACGGATCATCGTTTGAGACATTCAAAGAGAAACGTAAAATCTCGTAAGGTAATCAAGCTGAGTAAACTTAACAATACTTTTATTAAGGTAGAACCATACCGAGATAAAACTGACCTTACATAGTGCTACAACTGCCAAATATTTGACCATGCTTGTGCCAACTGCAAGCAACTCCCTCGATGTATGTGTTGGGTAGTGGTGACCTGCTAAGGGAATGCTCAGAAAAGACAAATACAGTATCTACACCAAGTGTCTGCAATTGCACCTTAGTAGAAGAGGACAAACCTCATTCAGCGTCATACCGAGGCTGCAGCCATGCGAAAGGAGAAGAGAAAAGCGTGCTCCCAGTGGATCCTCTGGGAGGACGTTCTTCTGTAAGTTAACCTCATTAGAGTAATACAACGCAGGTGCACTGCGGCAAGACAATCAACAACAGCAACCAAAGGCACCGCA